TTTACAGCGCCAAAGCTCTATGCACATGGATGACCAGTAATGTATCTAATCCGCCAGTCAGCAGATTGCGTTTTAGTTTCTGCAGGGACGATGACAGTAGAACCGGCGGGAGAGAAGGAGAAGGGAGGGGGCGTTAGAGTAGAGTAAGTCAAAGGCAGTGTCCGGGCAAAAGTCGATTTTGAGATTTTGTACTTATCAGGGCATATTCGCTATGCTAAATCTGAAAATGCACACTGGAGAGCGCGAAAACGACGAAAAAGGGCTCTAACGCAGGAGGAAAATCAGGGAACGGGGTCTTCCCCAAAGTGAATCCACCCTCCCAGTTTCCAGAGCGATCTTCTCGGTTCCGTCTACAAGTCAAGCGTTCGCACTTCGCCAATGCTGCTGTCAGCGCGGCTAGCAAAATCGAGAAGATCGTTCCACAAGCTGGGAGCGTGAATTCACTTTGGGGAAGATCCCGCCCCCTTGTGATTCTCCTATTCCCTTATACAACACTACTAAAGTAGGTAGTGTTGTATGCTTGTTCGTAAATGAAGGCGAAAGTCGTAACAGTGTTTTCTTTTCTTTGCTCCTGTAATTCCCCTTGACTGTATGATTTGAGATGACAAGAAAAAGGAAAGTTGATGCGGCCGCTGACGATATTGACCAGAAGAACGGCAGGCTGAGCAACTATGGTTATCAGACAAATGAACAACCATCGTCAAGCACCACTGATGATGGACGGAAACGCACTTTTCCACAGAAGGAACGTCACGGTTCTTCCCACCAAGCAAATCACAGTTACAGTTTTAAAGACAGAAGTAGTCATTACGGCGGTGGCGATCATAGTCAGGTTAGTTTGTGATGAATTTTCATATGTATATGAATTTGCTGTTTGATGCACAGGATAATGGCTACTACAATAGCGCAGAGGCGATGGCAGAAGAGGCTAATGATCAAGGGAGCACAGAAGCTTATCCTAGTGAATTAGTGGCGTATCTGAAGAACATCGAGCAGATGAAATTGACTGAAGGACGTATAGGTTAGTTCAAGCATTTTTTCGTTTTGCCCGT